TGTGGTAACTAAAGTTGGCATTGAAGGTTTTTATGATAAGGGAAAGAAAACTCCCAGATGGAAATTGGGAAATGCTAACTGGGATGTTTTCCAAAAGATCAGTACAAACAGATTCAGGAAACTTAAAGAGGAGAACCAGACAGATGTAAACATAATCAATAGTACAATAGTTAATGAGATTATTCAATCTGCTGAGGAAACAATCCCTAAGAGTACAGGAACTAAATGGACCAAGAGTGTACCCTGGTGGAATGACAACTGTAGTAAAGCCATAAAGGCCAGGAATAAAGCATTTAGAGAACTCAAGAAACTTCATTCTCAGGATGCATTGATCCTGTATAAAAGGGCCCAAGCAATAGTAAGGAGGACAATTAGAACACAAAAACGAACATTTTGGAGGCAGTACTGTAGCACTATTGGAAGGGAAGTACAGCTGTCAGATGTGTGGGGCATGATTAGAAGAATGGGGGGGGGGATTAGAAGAAATTATGAGATACCAGTGTTGAACACTGGGAACAAAATGGCTGTCAATAATTTAGAAAAGGCGGAACTTCTTGCACAAAAATTTGAAAGGGTTCATAGTTCGTGTAATCTCACAGATGAGGCTAGGCAGTGTAGAGATAAAATCTTAATGGAGAATCCCAAAATAACAGAGGAAAGGGAGGTGTCAGGAGATCCGTTAGATCTACCGTTTAATATGTTTGAGCTAAGAAGAGCAATTACGAGTGCTCGTCAGACCACTCCAGGGAAAGACGGTGTATGTTATAGAATGTTGGCATACATGACAGATTGGGTTTGTTTAATAAAGTTTGGGATGTTGGCCAACTTCCTTTAGCTTGAAACAAGCAATAATAGTGCCCATTCCAAAACCAGGAAAAGATCAGTCAGACCTTCCAGTTACAGACCTATTGCATTAACTCACCTTATGCAAAATTATGGAACGAATGGTCACCGAGCATTTAACATATTTCCTAGAGAGTAAAGCTCTTCTGTACCCGTACCAGAGTGGGTTCCGTAGGGGTCGGAATACAATGGATTCAGTATTGTGCTTAGAATCAGACATCAGGAAAGCACAGACCAACAAAGAAATACTGATAGCTGTATTTTTTGACGTTGAAAAAGCATATGATATGCTCTGGAAAGAAGGGTTACTTATTAAGTTGAAGTCATTGGGTATTGGTGGTAGAACATATAATTGGGTTATGAACTTTCTATTTGACAGGGAAATACAAGTAAGAGTAGGCGCAGAATACTCCAGTGTATATAAGGTGGAAAATGGAACTCCGCAAGGGAGTGTGTGTAGCCCGCTGTTATTCAACATAATGATAAATGACATCTTCTCTCAGGTTGAACAAAGCGTAGGGAAATCTTTGTAGGCAGATGACGGGGCTCTGTGGGTAAGAGGCCGCAATGTGTTGCACGTCAGTAAGAAAAGCAAGCTGCAATAGCTGCTGTGGAAAAATGGGCAAATAAATGGGGATTCAAGTTATCTGTTGCAAAAACACAGGTGATCTGTTTCTCAAGGTGGCATAAAGTCACGCCTACTTCCATGAAGTTATATGAACGACCACTTGAGCAAGTCAAAACAATTAAATTTCTTGGGGTTTGGTTTGATGAGAAGCTCACCTGGAATACTCATTTAGACAAAGTTAAGAACAAGTGTAAAAAAGTCATCAATATACTTCGTTGTCTGTCAGGACAAGAGTGGGGAGCAAGCAGAGCAGCTCTACAAAATATATACTGGGCACTCATGAGATCCGTTTTTGACTATGGATGTGTAGCGTACATGTCAGCAGCAGAATCAAACCTTAAGAAGTTGGATGTATTACAAGCTCAGGCCTTGAGAATTTGCAGTGGATCAGTCAAAACATCTCCGGTGTCAGCAATGCAGGTGGAGAAATGCCGTTAAGAATCAGGCGAGTAAAGTTAATGTTGGCACACTGGGTTAATCTCCAGGGGCAATGTGATTCTCATCCTGCCAAGAGTCTTTTAATAGATTGCTGGGAACACAATGAGACAAATTTCACAAGTTTTGGGTGGATTTGGGGTGGATTGGTGATGCAAAGGCAGAAGTCATAGGATTACGACAATTAGATTACAGCCCTACATTGTCACAGTCTTCCATTCCTCCCTGGTTATTTCTAACACCAAGTGCTTCAAGGAATTGAAGGATATGTCAAAGAAACTTCCAGAATGCAGCATAGTACAGAATTACTTTGATTTACATTTTTCAGACTCCATGTTTATATTCACAGATGGCTCCAAAGATTCTGATACAGGGCGTGCAGGTACAGCAGTTTATATCCCAGCAAGTGAGTCATATATCAAGAAAAGAATATCAGATCATGTCTCAGTGTATACCACAGAGTTGACTGCAATATTACTGGCCCTGCAGTGGATAGAAGAGAGGGAAACAAATAATACTGTTATTGCATCTGATAGCTTGTCTGCACTAATGAGTATTAAATCTGGCAAATCATCATTTAGATCCAATATCCTCAATGACATATTCCTTATATTGTACAGGATGGAGCTAAAGGGTTTATCCAAATGCTTCCTTTGGGTTCCTGCTCATGTTGGTGTGGAAGGAAATGAGCAGGTGGATATTCTGGCCAAAGGAACACTCAAAATCAAACATGTAGACCTAAAAACCCCATTAACTAAAGATGAAGCTAAGACATTTATCAGGACCTATGCACATTCAGTTTGGCAGGAGCATTGGGACAATAGTGAAACTGGAAGGCACCTATATAATGTACAGAGACAGGTTGGTGTCGGAAGGACGGTGGGCTGGAAACGTAGGGAAGAAAATATAATCACTCGTCTGAGAATAGGACATACAGGTCTCAACCTTTCGTTATATAAAACAGGTAAGCACCCAACTGGGAAATGTATATATGTAACCAACTAGAACGGTTGAACACTTGAACATGTTCTCCTGCAGTGTAGGAGATACACTATCAAGAGGGAATGCCTCTTTCAGTCATTACGGAAGGCAAAACATCATGATATCTCATTAACAGGTCTCTTGGGGAAAAAACAGCAGGCCAGATATATTGTCATATGATTAAGTTTCTGAAAGAAACAGAGTTAGAAAAAAGAATTTAATTTATGTTATTTTTTTTTTAATTTTTTTTTCTCTTTTATTTATTTCATTTATTTCCTGCTTAATCTCTCGTTCCACACTCCAGTCCAGCTTGTAGCGGTAATGCACCGTTAAACTGGTTTGCCAACTGCCATTAAACCCTAAAGAAGAAGAAGAAGAAGAAGAAGAGCGCGAGAGAGAGGTGAACGATACAGCGACGTTGAGCGCTAGTTTTAGTTGTGTTCCCCTCGGGTCACAGTGACCCCCACCGCGTACCTCCGCAACGCTACGGAGCCACCGGCAGAGGTCGCCAAAGGCGCTCGGAGCGCATTCGCCCCAGAGGCACGCGGGTGGGTCACTGTGACCAATTGCCGGCCTTGCCGCCTTTGTTACCCCGTTTGCGCGGAAACCAATCGCTGGCCTTGCCGCGCTTTTTACCCGTTCGCGCGGAAACCAATCGCTGGCCTTGCTGCGCTTTTTCCCCGTTGGCGCGGAAACCAATCGCTGGCCTTGCCGCTCTTTTTCCCCACGTTCGCGCGGAAACTAATCGCTGGCCCGTCCGCTCGTGTCCCTCTAGCGCACTTTCCCCGGTATAGCGGAAACGGTCCCCCCCTTTCCCTTTCCACGTATACTATCTCCCCTTGGGTCACATTGACCCGAGATTCGCTTTCCCTCGAACGATCTCCGCTTCGCTTTCCATATCTGTCCCCTACGGTTCCCTTTGCAACGTGTACTATCCGCCCTCCGGGTCAGAGTGACCCACCGAGATTCGCTTTCCCTTCGATGATCCCCGCTCCGGGTCACTGTGACCCACCGAGATTCGCTTTCCCTCCTACGTTGCCACCTGTCATGTTATCTGCCCTTCCATCTGCCCTTCGGGTCACTCTGACCCACCGAGATTCGCTTTCCTCCTTCTATCTGCCCTCCGGGTCATTCTGACCCACCGAGAGTCGTTGTCCCTCCTACGTTGCCACCTGTCATGTTATCTGCCCTTCCATCTGCCCTTCGGGTCACTCTGACCCACCGAGATTCGCTTTCCTCCTTCTATCTGCCCTCCGGGGTCACTCTGACCCACCGAGAGTCGTTGTCCCTCCTACGTTGCCACCTGTCATGTTATCTGCCCTTCCATCTGCCCTGCGGGTCACTCTGACCCACCGAGATTTGCTTTCCTCCTTCTATCTGCCCTCCGGGTCACTGTGACCCACCGAGATTCGCTTTCCCTCCTACGTTGCCACATGTCATTCACTTCCCCCTTGTATATGCCCTGCGGGTCACTCTGACCACCGAGATTCGCTTTCCTCCTTCTATCTGCCCTCCGGGTCACTGTGACCCACCGAGATTCGCTTTCCATATCTGTCCTCTACGGTTCCCTTTTCAACGTGTACTATATGCCCTGCGGGTCACTCTGACCCACCGAGATTCGCTTTCCTCCTTCTATCTGCCCTCCGGGTCACTGTGACCCACCGAGATTCGCTTTCCATATCTGTCCTCTACGGTTCCCTTTTCAACGTGTAATATCTGCCCCCGGGTCACTCTGACCCACCGAGATTCGCTTTCCTCCTTCTATCTGCCCTCCGGGTCACTGTGACCCACCGAGATTCGCTTTCCATATCTGTCCTCTACGGTTCCCTTTTCAACGTGTACTATCTGCCCTCCGGGTCACTCTGACCCACCGAGATTCGCTTTCCTCCTTCTATCTGCCCTCTGGGTCACTGTGACCCACCGAGATTCGCTTTCCATATCTGTCCTCTACGGTTCCCTTTTCAACGTGTACTATCTGCCCTCCGGGTCACTCTGACCCACCGAGATTCGCTTTCCCTATCTGTCCTCTGCGTATCCCGTATTCCTACCCTGTCATTCCCCGTGGGTCACATTGTTCAAAAATGGAGGTCACAGACCCGCAGAGCCCGGAACGATGGCCTCTTCTATACGTGGGCAGGATATCTCTGAGGGAGAATGGGACGATGATGAATACGTGTCAGACAGAGACTATGATTATGAAGATGAAGAGGAATACGAACTATATGAGGACGGTCAAGAACAAGAACAAGAAGAAAAAGACGAAGAAGAAAAAGACAAAGACGAAGAAGAAGAAGACGAAGAACAACAACAACAACAACAAGTACACGAACAAGTACAAGAACATGAACAAGAAGAAGAACTAGATGAACAACAAGTACACGAACAGGATCAAGATGAACAACAAGATCAAGAACAAGAAGCACCACCCGAACAACCCCGCGACCTAATGTCAAAGAACCAAACTCTTCTCTGGCGCACACATCACGTAGCTCAACAGGTGACAAGTACGCAACGGAGCCCGATACCCAGCGCACCCTCGGGGCCTACCCCGTACGCGGTGTCCCTGGTGCGCGATATAGCTTCGGCTTTCGGCTTGTTCTTCACGCACACAGTAGAGAAGCTCATACTGGAGATGACCAACCTCGAGGCCGAACGCACGGGCTACGAGCAACGGAACGCTTGGTGGAAGGCGGGCATGGGCGAGACCGAGCTGCGCGCATACGTGGGATTGCTCATCCTGGCCGGAGTGTATAGGTCCCGAGGGGAGGCCGCGGCCAGCCTCTGGGACGCTGAAAGCGGTTGCTCGATATTCCGCGCCACCATGCCCCTCAAGGTGTTTTACGCGTACTCGAAGCTGCTGCGCTTCGACGATCGCGAGACGAGAGCTCAGAGACGGGCCTCGGACAAACTGGTTAGAGAGCTGTGGGACAGGTGGGCGGAGAGGCTGCCCTACCTGTACAACCCGGGACCCGATGTTACCGTGGACGAACAGCTGGTTCCCTTGAGAGGGAGTACCGAGCACAAAAGAAAACACAAAAAAAAACATCTCACACTATGTGTCTTTCGTTCTCTCTGTCTTTCTTTCCTTCGTTCTCTGTCTTTCTTTCTGTCTTTCGTTCTCTCTGTCTTTCGTTCTCTCTGTCTTTCGTTCTCTCTGTCTTTCTTTCCTTCAGAGGTATTGTTTCTTTCTTTCTGTCTTCCTCCCCTCTGTAACCATTATCCGCTATGCCCAGAGATATGTAACACATCTGTCTCCATCTTCCCTCCCCTGTCTCTCAGGACGCTGTCCCTTCAGACAATACATGCCCAACAAACCCGCAAAGTACGGAATCAAGTCTTGGGTTGCCTGCGATGCGAAATCCAGCTACGCGTGGAAGATGCAGGTCTACGTGGGCAAGAAGGAGCTGCCCACCGGGGACTCGCACGCGCCAGCCCTACCGCGCTCCGAGAAAAACCAAGGCGCCCGCGTGGTACTGGAACTCACCGAGGGGCTCTCCGGACCGCGCAACGTAACCTGCGACAACTTCTTCACTTCTTACGAGCTCGGACAGCGGCTCCTGGAGAGAGGTCTGACCATGCTCGGAACCGTAAGGAAGAACAAACCCGAACTGCCGCCCGCGTTGGTCGCCACCAAGGGCAGACCCGTCTTCTCGTCCCAGTTCGCGTTCACCGGAGCCACAGCCAAGAGCACCACGCTGGTCTCGTACGTGCCCAAGAAAAACAAGAACATGTTGATCATGACCACGCTGCCTTGGCGCTCACACTCGCAAACCCGAGATTGCTCTGCCTCCGCCTCATATTCCGGACTCAGCGAGCGCTCCGATCGGAAACCTAACCTGGTACTCAAGTACAACAGCACCAAGGGCGGAGTGGACAACCTGGACAAGGTCATCGCCACGTACAGCTGCAGGAGAATGACCTCGCGCTGGCCCGTGGTCATCTTTCACAACATACTCGATGTGTCCGCGTACAACGCTTACGTGATATGGCGAGAGACGAACCCCGCGTGGCTGTCCGGTAATCGAAACAAGCGCAGGTTGTTCCTGGAGCAGCTGGGCAAGGCGCTCGTGACCCCGCTCATAGAGAAGAGGCGGGGGATGCCTCGAGCCGAGGATTCGGCCGCGCTGGTCAGAACCCTTAGAATAGGGGGCAGCGGTGACAGCGATCCGGGATCTCCTTCTTCGCAACCGCAACCCACTCGACGAGGGTCATGTGACCACCCCACACAGGACATCCTGGGCTCGCTAGCCCACCCGAAACCGAACGCTAGCAAAAGGAAGAGGTGTCAGATATGTCCCCCTAAAAAAGACAGTAAAACCTACACAACCTGCCAAGGCTGCAGCAAGTACGTGTGCAAGAGCTGCGTGCTCCCGTATTGCCCCGCGTGCGTGTAGGCGCGTGCGTGGTCTCACGCTACGAAATGCACAGAGACAGCGGGAGGGTTAATCAGATGGCCTAAGTTTCATAACAGCCCCTGGGGCAAAGGATGACATTGAAGCAAATACAAATTAAGTAACCTGAGGAAGTGCTTTGTGGGTTCCACGGAATTGTGCTGCCATTTGCATCGAAGAAACAAGACAACAAATACTGCTAAGGTTACAGCATTTAGTGTGACTGGGCTTGCAAAGGGTACTTAAGTATTTGAGTTTTTAATGTTCAAGTGGACGACAGTCCTCATGGTGTTAGCGAAAACTCAGCCAAATCACTCTGGCACACTTCTGATCAGTGCCAGGCTTTAATTGTGTGCTGCATGTTTAGTACAATGCCATAAGCTTAATATTAAAACGCATAACATATTCTGAGAGTCAGACGCAAAGGGGCTTTCTCCATAGGCGGACCTGTCCTATGTTCCTGGAGGGGATGACACAATCAATTGGCCTGAACCTCAATGGCATCAATGGCCCTGGCTTCCAGTAGGCAAGGATAGAAGGAACAACAGGAAGCCAAATGACTTGCCTTACATTCATGACACAGTTCTAACTCAGACATCTGTATTAATCTAGTGAGCACAGTGACTCGAGGTCAAGCCAAGCCTTTTATGATACAGTGTCCACAGGCAGCAGGAAATAAGACAAAGTTCTGGGTCTGTGCCATGCAGAAGTAACATAATGGAAGAGAATATTGTGTACATATAAATATATAAACTGACAACATAAAAATATACAACAACAAAGATCAACAATCAACAACAAATATGTGCAACGTGCCAGGTCTGTGCACGACATGAGATGAAACAGTATTTACATGTGCAGAGACATTTGTATCATTTGCAAGGGGGGAGTGTCAGAGGGGGACCCGGGCCTCGTTAATGAGGCTAGCTCATAGACTGTATATAAAAATGGACGTAGCGTCCGTGACATCACCCATTGGTTTCTGAAGAGCCGTTTTGAAGCTCAAAATTAGCGGAGCTGGCCGGCACCATCTTGGCAGTGCGTCACCGCGCGTCACTCTCGGATACCCAAAAATGGGCAAAGAGGCGGGTCGTAGGCGGAGCTGAGGTGACGTGTTGCTGAAACCACTCCCGCCTAGCTCCACGTGAGCAAGTTAGCTCATGATAAGGAGCTAATGCTACATGCTACTCTGCGGTGCTGTGCGGTGGAGGTTAGAACCTGCGGCTGATTGTTACCAGTTTACCGACATTACCAGCTACAGTCAAGGTAAGACACCGGAAAATATTAAAATAACTCACATATCTGTTATAATGTTATTTTGCAACACTAAAGTTAGATTTTGTTGAGACCAACGTTAACAGTTAACTACGAATCAGTTATTAATTACCTTAAGTTTACTTAACGTTAACTGTTACAGCTCAAACGAACAATTTCAAGCAAATCAATTTATATACCGTTGGTTACGAGCGGTTACGAGTTGCTTATTTGGACGTCACCTCAGTATGTTACTTGTAATAAACGTAATAAGCAGAGTCCTCAGTTACATGATGGAAGCTGTATATCTTGTAAAACGTTAGCCATGACTGCTATCAATTAATTAATTCCCCACACCGCTATTTTGAGTAACGTTGCTTCTGTTGGCAGGACTGTGTGGGATTATTGTCTGGAATAGGACATTTGAGAGAAAAAGGTACTTTTTATATTTGTCACAAGATCTTGTTGAAGTTCTGATGCCTCCACATCTGCTACTCAAAGGTTAAACTTTGAGTCTAAAATAATGTTGCTAGTCTTGGCTACTGGACATTTGACAGCTGATATAAAATTGTCTGTCTTAAAAGGACAACATAAAAACGTTTAAAGAGTCTCCCTTGTTCCATTTTCTCCCACGTATGTTACATAATAGTGCTGTCAACATTGAAACACTGAGGCATCATCATGAGGACCATCTCAAAGAATTTGAATACTGAGGAAAAGTTCATTGTGAGCATCAGAACCAGACTGAGAGAGTTAATTAGCTGATTAGAGAGCTCTTCTCCAGTGATTTCTGTATAATTTATAATACAGAGATGTATTTTATTCTAAAATGTTTATACATTTTGAGATAGTGGAGTTTTTATTTCCATGAGCTGTAAACCGTAATCATCAAGATGAAAGCAAAAAGGGTTTGAAATGCTTCACTTTGTGTAATGAATTAAATTACGTTAGAAAATTAACCTCACCACCCTATTCTATTTATTAAAGAATCATCTGTATTTACTTCATATTTTTTATCACCTGAAAAATTTATTCCACATTTTCCTCCTCCTCTTTCTGTGTGTGCAAGAGTATTTTTACTTTCTACCTTATACTTTAAGATAAATAAGGAGCCATACACCCAGTACCCATATACTGTATAACAGAGCTGAAGTTTATGAAGAGTGCCTTGTTTGCGGCTCTGATATAAGTCTAGTTTAAACACAGAATAATGTGGGCACATCCAAACCATCCTGTGGGTAAGTGCTAAAACAAAGAATGATCTGTACAGAGTGATTATGAATCCCACTAGGTGTTTTTTTATTGTGACCTTGCAAACTCTTGAGGTCTCAGAGATGACCGAATGCCCATGTAGTAAATAGGTGAGTCTATACAATGTAAAACTACACAAGACCTTCTCAGGTCGCAATAAATGACCTACAGGGTTTCAAAACTGTGTGCAGATAATTCTTTGTTTTTCATAACAGAGTAACTTCTCAGTCAATGTCACATTTGTCTCTTAAAGAAATGTCAAAATAAAAAGTATACAACATCAACCTTTCATTTTTTACTTGCTACTAACATATATGCAAAATGTTAGCCTATATATACCATCTTAATATTTTCATTTACAGCTGTTAACTATAATATATTGTTAAGTTTATATCACACTATTTAAAATTAAAATATGAAACTGATGATGAATGAAGAATTGTGAGTAAAAAGAAAAGCAGGAGCTGTAGAGCTGGAAGCTGGAGCTGTTCTCTCCTGAAGAGCTGGACACAGCTAATCACATCTGGAGGGTTCTGCAATCAGCTCCTTAGGCACCTGTAAAGACAACAATGGGTGGACAGTTAAGCAGCTTCTTCCAAAGAGCCATAAAGCTACTGAACTCTGAGATCGCCTCAGCATGATAACCTCTCTGGCATGTGACAGTAATTAGGGGTGGCAATGTGAAATACACTTTCCTAATATGTGCGATATACGGGTTTCTGCTAGACACTGTGCAATAATAACTACTCAAGTCCGATCTTATTGAATGTTTATTAAAAGGATCTTATTTTATATTTCTTATTGAACTGTACTACCTTTTTAGGCAAATTCTAACCCACAAAACAAACTCAGAGGCGGCTCTCACACACCTAAATTCTCGCCTTAACTAAACCATCGCCCTAGTTACAGCAAAGCCCAGCTGTCAGCAGGCATAACACGCATTATATGCTGACAAAAAAGGTGGATGAAAATCTCTGCAGGTAGCCTACAACAGCTGTTTGGCCGAATTATGCATCCACATCTTAAGCTTATCAGAAACGTCGCTGATCAAACGCAGTTATCACTCAGATTGTTTGCTGAATCTCAAGGATGTGTAATAACTTATTGATGACTCTAAACTGCATTTAATATGTACTTAGAATCAATCATCCCCACTGATGAACCCCACAAAGAATAGTATAACGTTATCGTTTTTAAACAGTTACGTTACACTTGGAGGTGCACGGCTCTCCTCGGGAGAGACAGCTAGCTCAAATAGTGGCATCGGTGTTCCTCGGTGTGACAGTTTCAGGCAGAACTCCGCAGCCGCTCCCCCCTCAGATCTCTGCCTTTAAACTCTTCGTGTCCATCGGGATCAGGTGCAGCCACTTATAATAGTATCTGACTTGTATCTAACTGAACAGTGATTCCGTTACAGGACGTAGCTAAATCTCACATCGCCCATTAGTAAAAGTTACCGTTAACATAACGGCAGCTAACACAGCTGAGCCTTTACTTACAACTTCACACAGACGCCTTTTCTTCAAAGTATTATCACCCTAATGTCTAACACTAAGGTTAATCTAATAATGTTACATTTTGGGTTCTCTCTTCATGCTGACCTGTCTTTGACTCATTAAAAGCTGCGGTTAGAACACACTAATAACTTACTTACACTAACTTAGCAGCTTGGGGCTGCTCATATCTGCCTAATTAGCGTAACGAGCTGACCTTAAGCTAACAAGCTATATGACAGCGATACCCGTTAAATGTTAACACATCAATAAAATACAGGAATTTCACTCACCAAGTAGAACTCCTGGAGGTTCGCTCTCCAACGAACTGCACAACCTGCCATTATTCATCCGGTATCTGCATGAAGAAATGTCCAAAAGGCTCCGATAGGCTGAGCCTCAGAGCTCCGTGTAGCTGAGTGAGGCTAACAGACAGTGGACCGAGTGCTAGCAGTGGCAGCAATGGCGCCTGTCAATCAAAGCAGCCACGCCCCTAATAATGCAGAACTTTCAGATTGCAGCTAATCACCATCTCTGCAGAGCGAATGATGCCCTGCCCTTGTCCCTGGCGGTGGTAGCAGCGTACCAGATGGTGATGGAGGAAGTGAGGATGGACTCAATGATGGCGGTGTAGAAGTGCACCATCATTGTCTTTGGCAGGTTGAACTTCTTCAGCTGCCGCAGGAAGTACATCCTCTGCTGGGCCTTTTTGATGATGGAGGTGATGTTCAGTTCCCACTTGAGGTCCTGGGAGATGATGTTGCCCAGGAAGCAGGAGGAGTCCACAGTGGTGACTGGGGAGTCACACAGGATGATGGGGGAGGGTGAGGCTGTGCTCTTTCTAAAATCCACCACCATCTCCACTGTCTTCTGAGCGCTGAGCTCCAGACTGTTCTGGCTGCACCAGGTCACCAGATGGTCAATCTCCCACCTGTAGGTGGCTCATCCCCACTTGAGATGATCCCAATGAGGGTGGTGTCGTCCGCAAACTTCAGGAGCGTGACA